ATATATAGAGGGCCACAAGTTTATTAGTCTAAGGACTATTACGTGCTACCCTCTCAAAACAAAAGACTTGATTTATTTATTTTATTTATCAGTTCAGCCTGAAATTGTCTTTATGCTTTATGCTGATAGTACATATAGATAGTGTCGAGAAAGGAATTTGTAGTAAATTTTGGAGATTACACTGCAATGCAAGTAATATTTTTCTAAAATATCTGGTACATGAAACAGCATATTTGCATTTAGAATTTTTATTTGAACTTCCATTAGGTTGAGAATCTTGCACCATTGCTCCTGTGAAAGAATAGCATCAAAGCTAGTAAGCATCTAGTTTTACAAAAGGTAGAGGAAATGTTTATGATAGCACCAATTCCATCTGTGCATGATACAGAAAAGAACACAGAGATAACCTTGCTAGGGTATCAATTTGGCCTTGAACCTGTCATCTGGTGGCAAATCAGGGACCTCCAACTTCAAGGATATTGCAATGGAAACATTCAACTTAACCTTAAGTTAGATGGAAGATCGACCATTTGCAGGTAAAAAAATGTTTTCATAAATATAGTTACCTGTTATATATTTCCATTTGGAAATAACTTACAAGCTTGAGTACAATTTGAAATTGATTTATGCCATATTAAGGTTATATCTTGTGAAATGCTTTAATGCACTATAATAGTGCATAAACAAATTACTGTTCTATAAACATTTTTTCTTTGTGATTAAAAGAAGAAGTCAAGTTCTTGTGGGTATAATACCATTAGTTACTGTGAATTGGTCACCTCACAGTTGTAAATCATTTTTCCTTTAGCAATTGCTAATTGTAAAGAAGCAATTGCTAATAGGTAAAGACAAGAAATAGCCTCTTGACTCTTCTTTGAATCTTTCAGGCGACACGCCCAAGATTTAAAGCCCTTCTTTCATTTCTTGTGAGTTTTACAGGCTACACGCCCAAAACTCACTGGATTTCATTGTTTTGCTCTCTCTTTACAGGCTATAAATACCAATGGCTTGACGAAGAATTCTCCCCCGGAAACTTTAGAGCTGTGATGATTAGGACAAGTAAGCCCACTGCAACAACAGCACCAACAACTAAGCAGTCTGAGCCTGAAASAGCAGCGACAAGTGATGAAAGCGGCCTGTTTTTTTGTCCACAAGATGGCTGCATCAGAGTTTTTAAAAGGTTTGTGACGTCACATTCTCAGTATCTATGGTTTCGATCGTTATGCTTTACTCGTGACATGTATTTTTATTACAACAGAAACACTAATCTTGAACGACATCTCTCGCTTGAAAAATGTGAGAAAAGAGTTGAGCGACTRTCGCTAATGGACTTAGCTAAAATGGAGTATGACCATTTAATTTTGTACTCTGAATTAGCCATTCCGAAGTTCAAAAAGGGACTGGTCACAAACTCCATACAGTTTGAAGCAATCAGAACACAGGAGAAGAAAGAGCGTACTAAAATGAGTTTAGTTACTGAGTTTGAGCGTATTCTGATTAATAATAATGGATTTGCAAGCGTCCAAAACTCGAAAAAAATACAAAGAATTTAAACTCTTGAACAGCATCCCCCAAAACCATACATTCTCTCATATTTTTGCAAATAATTGAAAGAAAAATCCATCTCAGTGAGTATTCAGCTAAATAATAATAACAGTAATCTTTATTCAAATAAAACATACTTAGATTATTACAAATTTGTAACTAAAACTAAGTAAAAGTTTAAAAAAATACAATTACATATTCTTATATAATTTTGAAATTACATAAAAAAGGAAATATAAAACTATAAATATAAAAAACACTAAAAAAGACTAATTTTTATAATTTTTATAATATACACCTACTTGCAGAAACGTTGTCATAGAAAATAGAACATTTGAATTTAGTAAAAATGAATTAATTAAAACAAGACAAAAGAAAGCGTTCAGCATCAGTGATCTTCGTTTGTCTTTTTAATTTATTCCTTTTTACTAAATACAAATGTCCTATTTCCTATGACAACAATTCTGCAATTAGGTGTATATATATAAAAAACAAAACTATTCATTGTATACGATGCCGCCAGCTATACTGCTGACAACATTTAAATCATTATTCCTAATGTTATTACAGTATTCAGGCCACTGTAGGCTGCCTAAATGCGGACCTAAATTAATGTTTAACTATATTAGTTCAATGTAAAGTACAGTGTGTATGAGAACTGGCTGCTAGAATGAGCAGTTCACAACAATTCTCAAAAACAGCTCATAATAAAATAATTTTTTTAAAAAGAAAAAAAAAATAAAGAAAAAATAAAGAGAACAATAAAAAAAGAGAAACACCGGACGTTTCATCTCTTTCCTGGAATATCGACAAAACTAGCCAAGAATGGTGAACATGGTCAAAGCGTTTTTAAATTCTAGTACTTTGTGTGTTAGTGAAGCATTCTTTTCGAAAATACAGAGACTTTACACAAATACACTTGATGTCAGAGAACAGCTCGGGAAATTGTGCTATTAAACGTCTAATAATCAGGATATCTGCGGCTATATGCAAGAAATACCAACATGAATCGATTTAGAGCATTCATTTACTGCCCTAAAGGATATAAAATGATGAAATACGAATAATATTACCTGTCAAAGACGGATGTTTTGACTTTCTTCGAGGTGGATCACTGACATCAAGTGTATTTTGTAAAGTCTCTGTATTTTCGAAACGAATGCTTCTCTAACACACAAAGTAAGTTTGTACAAAATTTCTGAAATACTTAGCCCTCTCCGTTTGAAGAATTATCACTCTTCAACGCAAAGAATTTGAAAACGCCTTGAACATTCTTGGCTACTTAGTGTCGATATTTGAGGAAAACAATTCATGTTGGAGGAGGAGCTATCCCTCTATAAAATCTATAAAATGCATGAATCCAGTAGGATTTTTCGTTCGACTCCCGACGTGTTATCTGTAACTTTTTGATAAGTGGGCTATTTTCATAATCGTTCTCAGTCTCCTTTAGAATGTGGGAATGGTCATTTTATTGAAATTTGACAGTTGGATAGACTATAATATATCCGTAAATATCAATCGCTGTAGACTGCGAACTTATCGAGAACTCCATGTAAGCAATTAGATTAGTCGCGGCTAAAGATCGACGTCTGAAAAAAATGAATTTTCCCACCATTGGGCCACAGTTAAGAATCAAATTCCATCCCTGGGAATCAAAAAAACGTAGCAAATATAAAACAAGCATCGATGGATCGTTATCAATTTTCATTCATTCTGAGATTTAACTTGGATTTTATTAAGATCTGTTTCCTAAAAAGCAATTACAAGTAACAAATTTACAAACTTGTTAATGCAGCTCGCCGCAAATCTTCGATAATACTTCAATAATACTTTAATAATACTTTGATAATGGTTCGATAGTACCTCAAAATACTTCTTTAATACATACAGGAAAAAGCTTTTAATGAACAGAAACAATGAGCTGTTTTATGAAGTTAAAAGTCACTGTGCTGTGGGAGGAGTATCATCGTTTAAAACTTCGTGTTGATGAAAACGTGTTTTCTGAGGAACTTGGGGACGTATAATAAGATGTCCCTCATGAAATATTAAGTGAGGCTAAACGTTGCCGTGAATGAAGAAGACTTTGTGAAAATCGCTCTCTCATAGACGAAGAATTTGGCTCGCTCAGTGCAGTATCAAAGACATATTTTTTGCTGTGCTGTTGATATGCTCCAGTAGTTATTAATGCTTTGAACGTTTTGGTGTCCCAATAATTGCATGATATGAGTAGGAGGGACATTGTTGTCGTTCAATTTCTGAATCATTGTTTTCCTGACGCTATAACGTAAGTCGTCGCTTTTCATCTAGGCCTCCATTTTCTGCCATAATTTTCACTATTCAGTTTGTTGACTCCTACTGCGCTGGATTTAAAACACGATATATCTTCGATAAATCTCTGTATTGGTTTAGAGACTTAAAATGTTTTTGCATTATCAGACATATTGATACTCGAATTCAAATAACAAAACTTCAAACACTAAAAAAGCTGCTGCATGAAAGAAAACTTTGCCGTAAGCGGCAAAGCTGCCAGTTCACGTTGACAGGTGCTTTTTGATTGGACGAAACGATTTTTTCACATTTGAGAAATCGTTTCGCCATCCTGATAGGCTGATTGCAGTCGCGAAATGGCTTTTCACATGGGTTGATTGACCGAGAAAATCTCAAAGTTTAGGATTGAATATTTGCAAAATATTATGACTTACTAATAATAAGCGAAAGTTTATTTCTACAATAATGAAAAAATTTACATGAATAAATCAGTTCTAGGTTTGTGTTTTAAACATTTAGAATATGTGACTGGCATATAGTTGCGCAGATTCATACAAACATAATGAAAAAGAATTAATGTTAACAAATACCTTTTGTAAACTCACTCTCAACCATCAAAAAGAATTTGCTGTCTAAGATCTCCACATCTGTTCCAACCTGTTCTTTCAATAATGTTTTAATGGAATCCACACCCGCCGTCTCTTCTGAAAGAGGGAGATGAAGCTGGCACTTTTCAACAGTGTGGTTCTCGTCTGCTTGAATATAGACGAACGCCTTCTTCCACGTGTTTGACTTTCTTGTTATGTTGGCAGCGGCCGTACTAGAACTGATAGACATCGAAACACTGGGTGCTGAGATGAACCTTGGCCTAGGAGGTGGGTTGAGTCTCGAACGCGGCATAACTGAACCAGGAACATTTGCGTTTGCGGTAGTAGGCTGAACGGCCGGATCCCCATAAAGCAGGTAGTTGACTGCGGGATTAACTTGAAACACGCCGTTCTCATCAGCGACTACAACTTCATCTTCTTCTGAGGTTAGATAAAGAGAAGTTTCCTGTAGCTTGAAGACTAGACAGATTTCTTAGGCGGAGTTTCACTCTCCTTTCTCCAAATGAAAGTATCGCCTTTGTGTGGGACAGTCGGTAAGTTTCGTTTTCGTTGTGTTTGCTTG